CTGTGTCCCCAGAACCTCAGCCAAACTGTGTCCCAGAACCTCAGCCAACCTTGCCCCAGAACCTCAGCCAACTCTCCCAGAACCTCAGCCAACCTGTGCCCAGAACCTCAGCCAACCTGTGCCCCAGAACCTCAGCCAACCTGTGTCCCAGAACCTCAGCCAACCTGTGTCCCAGAACCTCAGCCAACCTGTGTCCCAGAACCTCAGCCAACCTGTGTCCCAGACCTCAGCCTGTGCTCCTGTCCTGCCAGAGCATCTTCAGCTCCAGCCCTCTTAACTTCCTGTTGAGGCCTGGTTCCCCATTGGCATTCTGTCCGATTGCTGTGTCCAGTGGGAGGCCCTGCCAACAACTGCATCCCTGTTGTAGGCCCTGCCCACTCTTTTGGCCTGTCAGTGGCCTGGCCTATACCTGCCCATGTTTTACTTGACGGCAAGACAGAAATCTCCTCGCCGCCGCCTTCCCAAACTGCTCTCACCGTTTGGTCGGCCTCCCTCCTCCCTCCTGAACTATTTGCGCTCATGCCCAGGTTCCTGCTCTCCCTCTGCCCTGCCGCCCACCTGACTTTTCTGCTCCCTGAACTCTAGCCCTTGGTTCAACTCAGCTGCAGACTATTAAACATCCTGCCTCAGTGCACACAGATGAACTGTACAGGACTGTCACAAAGATTAGTGGGATTCAAAAAAAATATATAAATAAAATAAAAAAAACTTTGTTCTCAGCATGCTTCTCTTTGAACTCTGTTCTGCTGCAAATATTCCTATGAAATATTTTATCTTTCTATGATTAATCACTTGACCAGCTCATGAGTACCCCCCCCCCCAAAAAAAATTATCCCTGAACTGTGATTGGCTATTTCACCCTGTCAGAGCTGAGACTAATGATAAACTGACTCTTCTCTCTTTTTTAAGGCTCCTGAATCAATGAATCATTTTTAATTGTTTGATAAATAGTTAAAATAATAATAATAAATACTTTGCATATCTATTTCACAAGACCGGTGCATAGGACGGTAATGCACACTGTCATACTTGCAATGAAGTAACTAGCATGTACAGGACCAACACATTGCTAATTCATGTAATCTTGCAAGTTTGACTGTGTGCAAATGGTAAGTACTTTAAATTTGGACTTTAGCATACATCTTATATTTTTGTGTCAATAAAGAATGAAGCTAAAAAATGTATTTATGTTTCCATTATTTTGTTTTAAACTGAGATATAACAGGTGAATTTTAATAGGTTATTTTTAAAGGTAATCATTTATTATTATTTATTTGTGTGTGTTTTTGAAGGCCACCCCTGCGTCAGTCAGTGCACCAGTCGGGCTACCCCAGTAGTGTTGATGCTCCTGCACCCAAGGGTCTCACATTTTGAAGATAACCCCTTGTTCAGTTTTTATGTCCTGTAAAAAAATAAGTTTGCCCTAAAACAAGTTTGGTACCAATGGACTATTTGTGACGTGAGTTCTTCCTGTTTGACTGATCATATATGTTAATCATCTAAAGAGGAAGGAAATGTAGCGTTAAAAACACCCTGATATCTGTCTTCTGTTCACTCACTGCAGAGGAGGACAGTCTTCTCTCAGACGATATCCTTCTTCACTGTAAGTAGAATAATTTATCAACATGTCTGTACTGTTTGATCCTGCTGTGTTCTTATTAATCTGCTAACATGTTTTATTGTCCCTAAAGTCACACAGAGAGATGAGAGGAGCAGCGATGACTTTAACTGCAGCAGTGAGTGGATTTATCGTCCTCCTCCTCTCTGTGTCAGGTACTTCATATCTACAGTTACATTCATTTAATCTAAAGAGGAAATCTGAGGAGAGTGGGACTGATTAATGCAGACTGAAAAGTGTGCTTGATGTTACAGGAAATCTTCTCAGAAACACTATAAACACAGTTTTAATGTATATCATTGTATATCTGTTTTAATGTCTAACAGGAAGATCTTTAGTTGGATCGCCTTTTTCATATTATTTCTTAAGCAGTTTGTTTTCAGAATCTTTCATACAGTTTCTATCGACATGTTTTTTATCCTTTTAACATTTTTTGGATGGAAACTTGTTTCCATGATGCGTTGACAGCTTTTAAGATCGTATTTTTAAGTATGAGTGTCTGCTCTGTTTCTCACACCTCATAGTTCTGCTTTTTTTAAAGTCTTCACACTTACTTCAACAGCAAACTTACCACAGACCATCCAAGTATGGCAAAAAGTCTTTAATAATCAATTCATAGTTTTCACATGACATCACACGCTTATGGAACCGCCACCTGGCGGGCGATAAAGACTCTGTAGCTGAACGCTACTGAGAAGTTATTGGTCTCAGTGTTTTTTATCAGTTTAATTTTTCCATGTTTCAAATGAGAGACAGTTGTTGTTGAATGTGATGCACTAACCGACGAGGAGACGAGCCCGGGTTGTTCTTCTACAGAATGTTTGAAAGAAAACCCAGAGAGGAGGAGATTGTGGATTAATGCTGTTAGACGCTCTGCTGTCCCTGTGAGGGAACAAAGAACAGACTTCTCCTCATCATGACATTAAAGATTGTGTTAACTTGATCTAAATATTCCTGCCTTTAACGAACATTACTGCCCCAGAACACTGACTGACAGAGACCCAGATACTATCGTCAGCTAACCTTAACTTATGTTAGCTTGTTAGCACTCACCGATGTTGGATGATGAAGAATTTCTTGCCCTTCACTTCCTAAACGAGCATTATTGACCCAGCCACATCAAAAATACAAAAACTGTCTTTCATCCTACAATGTGAAGGAGAGGATTACCCTCTAAATATAACATCTCTAAAGTGACGTTCTTCTCTCTGATAATCAATACTTCCTCTTACAACCGTAAAGTTCACAGGTCTAAATAACACATTTAACGTTCTCTACACCTTCAGACTGGATGATGTCTGGTCTCAACGACTTGCAGATTAACTGTAGAAACAAAGTGAACATCTTCTACTCTTCCTTTAACTGTATATACAAATGGACAACATCCCTCAGGCTCCTTCTGTTGAACAAGATGAAGCCAAATATCCTCATGATGGGCGCTACATATTGCATATTTGCAACCAGAGTCTGCGTAGTAGGGATCCACTGGAAGACGTCACGCTACTTCCTCTAACGAAAACATTTAACGTCACGACAGAGAAACATAAAAATCCCTCAGGTGTTCAGTCAACAGAAACAGATGCATGCATTTAGATTTCATTGTTGACCCCCATGGCCTTCTGTTATCATGGAGGAGTTGGAGTGTTGACCTACTACTGCCAGTGCAGCCAGTCAGCAGGGGGGGCGCTTCTAAATCTTTTCCTTTGACTGCAGCCTTTTGCACCGTCAATTTTAACATACAGTCTATTTTTACACTAGAGCAGGGGTCTCCAACCTTTCTTCATCTGAGAGCTTCTTTGAAAAAATGAAAGTGCCACATCAAATCTCTTGCATTCATTAACATCAGCTGAATGAAGCTACTGTTTTACACGTGTGAAATTGCAAAAAGCCAATGCTCATCAAGAATCTTAAATTCACATCAAGGTCCAAGAAAAAAACATGAATATTTTACACTTCTTATTGTAAGCTATGTTGCTGAGAATTCACATCAATGTCCAAGAAAACATTACTTCTTTACACTTGTTTTAATGGGCCAAATATATGAATAGTGGGAAGAGGTACATTCACTGATTTATTTTTATTTTTATTTTTTTAACACAGTCGGTCAACCTATAGGTGAGCTACTTTAAACCTGCCTGCTCCGAGCTACCTGTTGGAGACCCCTGCACTAGGGCTTTCAAACAATTACACATTTATGATTAATCATATCTTTAATCACATGTTTGAAGTTCCATTATTTTACATTTTAAATATGTTATGCTTTTATTGTAGATATTATACTGTTTTATGTTAAGGTGCTTTACTTCCTGTTTGATACAAGTTTTCATTTTTCTTTTTAAAGTTATGGATGTTGATGGTTGTTTCCTGATGTGCTCTGTGTTACAGTGGTTCAGGGTCAGGACAGCTGGAGAGTGACTTACTCTTCTCTTCAGATCTGTGCTTATAAAGGATCAACTGTGGAGATGAACTGCACCTTCACATACCCAGAGAGGACAAAAGGAGAAGTTAACTCACTTCAGAAAACATTCTGGTTGAGAAAAGATGGTTTTCATTACAAAGATGTAGAAACAGACTCAGAGTATTCAGGTCGTGTGAAGAATATCTGTGATGGGAACAAATGCACTCTGAGAATCACAAACCTGAGAGAGACAGACTCGACTGTGTACAGGTTTAGATTCATAATAAACAAAGACAGTTATCATGGTCACCCTGGGGTCACTCTGTCAGTCACAGGTAATCTTTCACCTCAATATTTCTGAGCTCACTGTTTCTAATACATTATAAATACATGTTTTAATATGTGCATGTTTTGTGAAAACAGTTGACGTTTCTTCACATGTTCAGATCTCCAGGTGAAGGTGAGCAGACCACATAAGGCTCTGCTCTTTCAGTGTCTCAGTGGACTTTCCAGTCAAACCTCCTACATCTGGTTCAGGAACGGACATCAAATCAAACATCAAACATTATATTATTATTATCCACCAGAGCAGCTTCTTCAGACAGACAGTTACTCCTGTGCTCTATCAGGACATGAGAAGTGCCCGTCTCCTCCAGTGTGTGAGTTTATTTACAGTCTTCACTGATTCACACCATCAGATGGAATCTTTAAACTATTAAATGGTGCCTCATAGCAGCATGTACCTCAGTGGTATTTGTTATTTATTTAGATTTTTCATAGAGTGTCCTGTTTATCTGTTTCAATGTAAAAAAAAAACCTTTATTCAGCTGTCATGAGCCTCAATTTCAAAACCAAAAGCTAAGTTAGAATGTAATATGTTCATCATCATCATCTGATGTGGATGACAAAGGTCTCTCTGATTCTCCTCCAGATGCTCCAAAGCTTCCCTCTGTGTCAGTGAGTCCCTCTGCTGAGATAGTGGAGGGCAGTTCAGTGACTCTGACCTGTAGCAGTGATGCTAACCCAGCAGCTACTTTTAAATGGTACAAGAGAAATCAGATATCTCAATACCTTCATGAAGGAGCACAGCTGGTCTTCAACTACATTCAACCCTCGGCCTCTGGAGAGTATTACTGTGAATCTGAGAACAAGCTGGGGAGGAAGAGGTCTGGATACGTCTCTATCAATGTGAAATGTGAGTGAAACAGCAGAAATGTTCTTGAAGATATTATGTGTAAAGAAGAAACTCTCACCTACAAATAAACACACTACTATAGTCTCTTTGACAGATTCAAGTTAAAGGACCAGTGTGTGAGATTTAATCAGGACTTTAATGTGACGATTTAAAATATTTTTACTTGAGTTTAATTACTTTAAAAGTTTGTAATGTTAATGATTGTTTATGTCTGCACTTCACAAAGTTCACAATGCTTCACATGTTTCTATAATAAACCAGAAGACTCAGAACAAACGGCTGCTTTAGAGCGGGCCTTCAGTCTACTGAAGCCGGGCGACTCTGAGCCATTTCAGGACGATTTCATCAAAATCTTTGAGTCGACTGATTTTTCATTCTGCCTGATCTCCCGTTGTTAGTTGTGCAGTGTACACTGAGGCTCGACAGCCTATCATTGTCTGATCAGCTGCTTCAGACTGGTCGGATGATTTTCTGGCACGTTTGATATTTTGGTTGTACGACTGCCCACACTCACATAGCAGAGCCATGCGCAGATCCCACGACTTCAGGACTTTTCCCCCCTGATTGTGTCTGCGCAAACTGACAGAAAACATCCTAAATCACCATGGCAACAGTAGACACGCCTGTTTAATCCAAAAGAAACGATGGCAGGAAATATCTGCAGACCTCCAGCTGAGAGGGAACACTTGTTATTATTTAGCTGCTAGTTAGCGTGTGTGTGTGTGTGTGTGTGTGTGTGTGTGTGTGTGTGTGTGTGTGTGTGTGTGTGTGTGTGTGTGTGTTGTGTGTGTGTGTGTGTGTGTGTGTGTGTGTGTGTGTGAGAAAGTGTTTTTGGGCATGTGTGTATTTGAGTCGTGCATATGAGACAGATCTATTGATGATGGTGAATGCTCTGTCCTGATTTCACTCGTACAGTGTGAGTCGACATTCCTCCATGAATTTCAAACAATCGTACAGAGTACGCTGAGCTTTAATGATTGTTGTAAACTCTGCAGGTGAGAGGGGAGCATCGAGGGAGGTTGTCAGCTGGTTTCAATCTGCATCAGCACTTTATTCTTAATTCTTCTTTGGTCACTTCAGTTATATTTTTATTCTTCTCTCTCAAGATGCTCCATCAGTTTGTTCAGCGTCTGTGAGTCCTGCTGGTGAAATCAGAGAGAACAGTAGAGTGACTGTGACCTGTAGCTGTGATGCTAACCCAGCACCTGAATACACCTGGTACAAGGTGAACGGTCGTGAACTCAGTAAAGAATCAGAGCTCGTCTTCAGCTCAGTTCAGTCCTCTGACTCTGGAAGGTATTACTGTAAAGCTAAGAATGATCTGGGAGAGAGGACATCTGGATACGTCAAAGTTGAAGTGAAATGTGAGTGAAAAACATTTTCTTTGAAAAGCAACATTGAGCTGATTTCTCATTTGAAGGTTTAATTTGCTGATCATATCTGCTTCCTCTAGCTCTACTTCACACTCACAGTCTGCAGCTAAAGCCCACTGAGCACTGTTTTTTCATCTTGACAATTCAAACATTTTAATGTTGAGGAGAAATTAAAACAGATGTTTTCTCCTCCAGATGCTCCAAAGCTTCCCTCTGTGTCAGTGAGTCCCTCTGCTGAGATAGTGGAGGGCAGTTCAGTGACTCTGACCTGTAGCAGTGATGCTAACCCAGCAGCTAATTACACCTGGTTCAAGGAGGATGAAGACTCACCAACAGCTTCAGGACAGATTTTTAACATAAACAACACAAGTCCTGAACACAGTGGGCATTATATTTGTATCGCCCAAAATACCAGAGGACGTCATAACTCCACTGTACATCTGACTGTTTTGGAAGGTAAGCTTCACCCACACTGTTTCACAGGTCATATGACTCTATGACAGGAACAGCGGTCTAAAGGAATAACAACACTCTGATTCAGTCGGGAAGGCCACCCAATAGACCTCCGTAAAGGTTCTCCATTAGTCAGTCTCTTGGTATAACTAAAGACTTCCTCGATTGAATTCTTCCCAGGACGCCTTCCAGAGACTCCGAGAGGGGTTCAGTTTAGTTCAGTTTAGTTTCTTAGGATATCAGGTTAAGGTTAGGCTGACAGTACCTCTGCAACACTGAGGCACGAGGGGAAGGCGGACCTGGATTACAGCAATGCTGCAGCTTTTCTTCCTGAGGTCCACAACACCCATTACAGTGTGACTGTGTCATCTTACAACTTAAAACCAACATAACACTCATTAACATAAACAACATTCAATACACAGCTTTCATCCTAACACATAACATTACAGGACTAACAGCAAGACAAAACATGAACACAATGACAGGGTGAGGACAGCTTCTAGGAAATTATGATCATACGATTGTTCAATCCATGGCAGTGACATTTGAACCCGTTCAGTTCCTCTGTACACAATCTACTGATGAGTTAAAGAATATATATACATGTACCTGCAAAATGCATCTGTCTAAACATACACACACATAAACAATAAGCAAATAGAACAATCAAAGAGTTACAGGAGGAACATAAATCAAATAAAATGTATAGCTTGTTGGATGGCAATAGATGAATTTACTCGGTCAAAAGATACTGCTTTAATAAACATTTGAATTTAGTTTTCTTGTTTTCTTAGTTCATGTATCTTTGAAGTGAGTTCCATTCCTGCATTGCTCGAAACATTTACTGTTTGTTTAATTGAGTTGGTTCTTGCTTTAGGTAAAATGAAGTTCCCTCCTGTTGCATGCCTGGTTGAGTAGTTTTGAGATGCTGAACTAAACGTTACATTTTTAAGTCTTTGTCACAATAATGTTTTTGATAAATGTCAAAAGTGAGTATCGTAGTCTGTTTTTAACAGTAACAGGGTGTTTGTCCTTCGTTTGGGTCTTATTTCTTTTTCAATTTCACCAAAAGAAATTACAATAAGTTGTAAGAATGTGTTCATGACGTGTTTTTACTTGTAAGGTTAACTTTCTGTCTCTGTCTGTTTCAGCAGGAGGATGGAAACTGACGACTGCTGTGACAGTTCCTGCTATTTTCCTCATTATCATACTCATCTTTGTCGTCATATGGATCATGTGAGCAGTTCTTTTTCAGCAAATACTTGTTCATGATTAATGCATTGTACCCTCACAAACAACAATATGGTTTACTTTTCTATTTGAATGCACCTCACCAGAAAGAAGAGGGCCTGCAAGCAACCGTCTGAGCCCGGAGACAGACCAGAGAACAGTGAACAGGTGAGGAAGTCTCTGAATTTATGAATCAGGGACGGTTGAACTCTTGACATAGTGTTTGATTTGTTTGCCTACAGCAATGTTTGTCCTATTTGTTTGCTGTAAGTGCTTAAGCTTTTGCTCTCTCCATCCTGGTGCTTCACATGTTGGGTTTTTCCAAAAAACTGATGATTTTCTGAGAGCTCCCCAAAAAAGGAAAGTGAGACCTTTTGGGTTGCGTTGCTTTCCTGGCCATGATAAAGACACCCAAGGATCATCAGCATTCAACAAGGCAAACCATAACATTATGAACTGCTTTTAATGAAACACCAAAAACAGGATTGGTTTCTGATTCAAGTCTCAAGTTCCCTCTTTTGCTTTCAGTAAAATTACAACTTCTGTCTCTGTAAATAACTCAAGCCTTGAATCCTGTCTTTCAAAAGTCTGTCTGTAAATAATTGAATACTCTTTGTTGTCCGGTGTTCACAGATACAACCAGCAGAGGAGCAGGATGAGCTTCAATATGCCACTGTCGACTTTTCCAGGAACCAGGCTGATCCTCTCTACTCCAACATCCAACCAGTTAAACCCCAAACACACAAGAAGAAGAAGAAGAAGAAGAAGAAGGAGAACAAGAGGAGATGGTTGAGTACTCTGTGGTTAACTTTAACAGCGGCGGTGCAGCCCAGAGGTAAAACAACTCCTCACATAACATGATCTTTAACCACAAAACTATTGTTTTCATCATTCTGTTTATTGTGTTTTCATCATTTACCGTGATCACTGTTGGCCTGTTATCATATAATCTCATGTCTTTCTTCTTCTCAGCACCAGTGGTCAGCAAGCTGCAGATCCAGCTGCATTGTACAGTACAGTCAACAAACATGGACGAAGAAACCTCTAGTTTACTCTCATCCAATGAAATCCTTACAGGAAACCACTTTGAGAATGAATCCTCGGGACAGACTCCTTCAAGAACGCAGCTAGACCTGCATTTAATAAATGACTTAAAACAGATAAATGATGTTAGTATTAAGCTTTGTGAATGACTTACTGTGGTCCACCTGTAAAGTGATTATGAATTATTTTACAGGATTAATAATATGAGTTTTACATTAACAAGACTCAGGTTTAAACAAATCAAACAAGTATTACTAGTTAAAAAGTATTTACCTTTATTGTTAATTGTTGTTGTGAAGATTCTTATTTTGTATTCATCTGTTTCTTATTGTTTTGTGGGGAAGCTTTTATTTTGAAGGCTGATTTGCTTCTTACCTGCTTTAAACCGGATATTAAAAGACTCAGGTAGGTAGACAGTCAGTGTGTTAATTGATTTAAAAAAAACCACTGTTATCCACGCCCTTACATTTTAGCAACCAGCTGGAAGGTGTACAAGGTACAACCTTTGTAATCTTTATGATGTTTTCAGTGATTTATTTAAGCGTGCTAGCCTTTAGCTTAGCCATGCTATCTCATTCGCTCGCCCTTAGACCTTGGTTAATTGAGTCCTGTTAAATGTAGTTATTATGTTGATTTTTTTGCTAAATTTAATTGCTCATTTTATGTGTATTTAAGGCCTATAGTTATCAATACGTGATTTATATATATTCTTTGGTGTAGTTAGTAAATGTTATTAATATGGTTCTTTAACTTTGTTGTTTGACTTGGTAAAAATGTTCTAAATTAACCTGACTATCTATTTTTATACCTTATCTCTTGTTATGTGTTAATATTATAAATATTTATGGTCCTTTTCTCTGTTTTGGGTTTAATGGTTATTTGCATGTTTATAAAGTTTGTCTTTCTGTTGTGTTTTATGTACAGCTCTTACGGTTTGTTTGTGAGTTATTGCACAGCATGAAGCAAAAAAGTAAAGTAACATAAACCAACAGATAAAGGATTCATCAATTGCTGTAGCTGGGTTTGCTACAGCTACCATGCCCATTCCAGGTGGTCAGATTTAAATGCACCTGTAGCCTGTGTGTGGTGTCGGTAAGAGAGCAGAAACACACCGAGCACAAAGGTTGTACTGTCACCACACGTTTGGCATTCATCTAAATGTCTGTAGTTAGTTCACCTGTTGCTTATATCCTTGCTTTTATTCACTTACAAGTTTTACTTAAATGGTTCTCTTGTAATGTGTCACAGATGTAAATGAGTAATGTAAAATGTTTACACTTCCTGAACCAAATTTCAATGAAATACTTCTGCAAACAATGTAAAAAGGGATCAAATGTAAATTTCATTTTTCCAAACAATCAGAGATGAATGACAAAATGTAAATGTCCTGACTCTGACTCTCTGATGTTTCACTGCCCTCTAGTGGAGAGGCTTTTATTCTCACATTCAGGCTTCATCATTCAGTGCTCCCTAAACGGGATAAATAAACATTTTAATTTATCATTTGATTTATGATATAATATGTATAATCCATCGAGCAACGCCCCGAGTCTTCGTTACCCAGCTTCCCTGAGTCTCCACAGTCCAGCAGCTGGTTTGCCATTCAAAGCCTCAGACTCAGCAACTGGTGTGCGAGCCTCATCCTTCCCACTTCCAAGAGCCTCAGCTAACAGGGTTCCAGTGACCCAGTACCTGTGCTTCCCAGTAACTCTGCCCCGTGCTTCCAAATGACCCAGCTCCATGCTCTCAAGAGCTGAGACCACCCAGTG